TTGAGCAAAAGGAAGCATGTATGTCACTACGTGCACACAGTCACATACACACACATGACACCTATGTAATCATGACTGGTTGCATAACCTCTTTACATGTCATTTTTCATCTCGAGGAACCTTCATTCCCGAGTGTACTGGTCGATAGCAGTTCACAGTGCTTAAGGTTAGATTTGAGTGAACAGTCAGTTCCACAGAGCTCAAGGTAAGAAAAAATCAACGGATTTTCTTACCGATACATCACTTTAGTGTGATTACTCTCTCTGTAGCTCAAGGTACCTCTGCTTGCGTCAACATAAAACTCGTAACCAATTTCAAATCTCTTTGCCCCCAAAAAAGGTCAAACATTGAAACAACAAATTGAAGACTTCTCCTTTAATAATTCTCATATTTACATATATAATTCTTTTCAAAGATATAAAAGTAGCTACAAGCCATAATACTGTACATAAGGCATAAACCACTCTTGGTCTACAATACCTGGAGTATACCTGGGAGTTTTTGACTCCACAAGCCCACCCTGGGGTCAAATCCCACAGAAAAATCTGCACAACTTGATTCTTCTTTCATCCCCCTACCCTCCTCCCCAGAAAAGATAAGAAACAAAACAAAGAATTTATTTACAATCTCACAGACCTGTATACACTTAAGAAAATTAATATACTTTAGTAACACTATCGCACTCCCTTGCCAACGTCCGTCGTCACATATTTTTCTCGACTCATCTCGGTTGCCTCCATTTTGCGTCACTCATTAAAATATTTGTTCAAAAATTTAATTTTATCCGATCAATCTGGGAGTGGTTTCAAAATGAGCGCCTTTAGATTGCACACAATTTGATACCAAAATGAAAGACATAACACGAAAATTGATGTCAAAACACTGGAAAGATATAAGTAATTTTGTGGTGATGAGCGTCAAAAAGTGTACAAAAGTTAAAATATGTTAAAATTCCATTTATTGTTCTATTATTATGGGACTAGTTTTAAAATACGCACCATTATATTGCAGACAATTTGATACCAAAATGAAAGACGTGATGCGAAAATTGATGTCAGAAAGATAATAAATGTTAGAAAGATAATAAATACTTTTGTGGTCCAAATTTTAAAATATTTGCTGTGGTCCAAATTTTAAAATATTTGTTATAATTCCATTTATTGTTCTATTATTATGGGACTAGTTTTAAAATACGCGTCTTTATATTGCGAACAATTTGATACCAAAATGAAAAACGTAACATGAAAATTTGTGTCAGAACACTGGAAATATATAAATAATTTTGTGGTGATGAGCGTCCAAAAGTTAAAATATTTGTTAAAACTCCATTTATTGTTCTATTATTATGGGACTAGTTTTAAAATACGCACCTTTATTTTTGCGAACAATTTGATACCAAGATGAAACACGTAACATGAAAATTTATGTTATCAAACTGAACGAGTACAGTATATACATTAGTCTGCAGGTGTGCCAATTGATGCTCGTTCACGGGTAACTTGGTCGACTTTAGGCTTTGTTGTGAGGAGTCAAGCCGGGCTTTCAGACCTTATATGCAGCCCTCCCAGAAAGTTTCTATTTAATAAACAGTGACAAAGTAAAGTATAAGAATTTCCTTGGTATAGTAACTGAACAAGAAGGAATACTATGGAACTGAATTTTAACACTTTCGTGCTCTCGGCAAACGAAAAAAAAACTTGTCCCGATGCTCGCGGCATTTCGGGTGATCGAGCGGCAACACTGAAAAGTGTATACAGTACTCTTTTTCACTGTCCTCACATTAATTTTCGATGTACGTATTTCATTTTTGTACCAATGTGTTCGCAATAGAATGTTCTAGAAAAACATAAGTATAAAATGTTACCAAAGCATGAGTTAGACCAGCACCAAATAGAGAACTACGTCGATCACTAGCCGTGAGCACCAAACAGCGAAGAAATGTTTCTACTCTTTTTCAGGATTGTCAACTCCACATTTGTCCTACAGCGTTAAATTTGGTATCACTGAGATTGCAATAAAATTCCCTACGCGGACATATGCATATAAATATAGAATCAATGTCGCAGCCCACCCGCAAGAGTGTGGGAAGTGGCCAAAGTGTTACCCATGACGGAATATCGGTGAAACCCTTATTGAAAAGTGTATATTCTTTTCACTGTTCTGACATTAATTTTTGATGTACGTATTTAAGTTTTGTACTAATGTGTTCGCAATAAAATGTTCTAGAACATAAGTATAAAATGTCACACAAGGATGCGTTAGACCGGCACCAAATAAAAAACTTCGTCGATTACACTCGTCGTGTCAACAACACTATGGTTTTACCACGATGATGCAATGCCATGCCGTTCTCCCAAATAGGCTATGCGGCTATTAAGGAAAATGGAAATTTCATGGTGAACATTTGTAAACTATCCCAAAGTTGATCGGATAAAAAATGGATTCTATAGAAATATTTTTTTTCATGATTCGAGTCCGCGTCACGGACTCGTTCACAACACAAAAATGGGTAACTCTCTCGAGCACCACGGATGAGCTAAAATGTTAAGATGTCTAGCTAGAAAACAACACAATAGGGTCCTGTATCGTAGTTTTAGCTTGCTTGATTGCTTGCTTGCTTGCTTGGTTTGAGGCTCCAAGCATATAGGCCCAACAATTATTATATATTTTTTACAAACTTGTCATATTCACCTGCCAAATAATAGGCAATCATAATTATTTCAGAATCAAAACCAATTAACCTTTACATTTTCACAAATGACATTAACAGAAATGGCATATTCTATAATAAACTACAGGTATCACTGGCCCAGCATCTCTAATCATACAGAGTGGTTAATGCGTTCAAGGGTGTAACAAATAGTGTTGTATTCAGTGCGAGGAATATAACTATTGTAAATATGTTTTGAATGTAGGTGATTGAGAGATTCCCAGGCCTTCATATCTAAGGATTAACAAAATTAGCATTGAATGTAATGCAATGCACCTTTCTGGTGAGCCTTTCAGAAACTCACCGAGTTTGGCTGGTACTACCTTCCTAAGGAAATAGTGTAAGGCCTTTGAGACCCATCCTAACCTCTTAGGATCCAGGACCAAAATATGGTTCGTTCTCGTTCTCTTTCTCTCTCTCGTTCTCTCTCTCTCTCTCGTTCTCTCTCTCTCTCTCTCTCTCTCGTCTCTCTCTCTCTCTCTCTCTCTCTCTCTCTCTCTCTCTCTCTCTCTCTCTCTCTCTCTCTCTCTCTCGTTCTCTCTCTCTCTCGTTCTCTCTCTCTCTCGTTCTCGCTCTCTCTCGTTCTCGCTCTCTCTCAACCCCCAAGAAGAGGGAAGCCTTGGTATCACAGACAGTACAAAAACCAAAATAAAATAAAAACGATGGCCACATCAAAACAAGCAACTGCTAAGAGGAAAATAGAAGCTACTGTATGGGGAAAACAAGGCAACCAATTGTTGCCTTCGAGTAACTACCCCATCTGTGACGGGATGACTGTTCAACCCGTCCTCTTGAAAATAACGCCGCTTTTTGCTCGTACGTGTGCTATGGCCAAAAAATAGACATAATTTTAAATGAAATCGGCTCACAAAAGTGACGTACTGTCCTGTTTACTGTTTAAGTTGTCCGGCTTACTTGGTTACAATAGGAGAGGAAACTTTCAATTAACCCTTGCACTGCTCACCTATTTTCGGAAAAAACGTCGTGTTGCAATTGTCAAGGACATTTGTTATTTTTATAAATGTTCAGGTAAAGTTAATGTCAAAATGTTTCCAAAGTCAACTATTTCTATTTCAAGACACAAAAAGTAACGAAAACATTAAAAAACATTAAAATATAGCCTAATTATAAACAAAAAGCACAACTCTCAGAGCGCCTAAAGGCGCTTTGCGCAGTGCAGTGGTTAAAGGTTTTCATGACGTTTATAAAACGTTAGGAGAACTTCCTGCCCTTCTGGCCTACGAGAGGACCCTCAACTTGCTGTTTTGGTAAAAAAAAAAAAAAAAAAAAAAAAAAGATCCAAAATTTATTTTCAATTTTTTTCATGTTCAAATTATGTCCATTTTGGCCATACTGGCCAACGGGCAAATTCAGATGTAATTTGTAAGAGGACAGGTTGGACTGTTACCAGATAAAGGCCCAGGTCACCTGGTGTCTTGGTCAGCCTGCCACATGACTCACAAGCTGAACAAACTGAAACCTCTTAACACCCCACAATAAAGGAAATAGGGTGGGGATGAGGAACTATTGAGGGATGACCAAAAAGGATGCTATTACATTTATTATTTGATTTATGGGAGGGGTCCTCCTCAGTTGCTTCTCAAGCATACTCTGCTCACAGAAGAACAGGACAGATTTTCAGAGAGAAATAAAAGATCAGGAAAACAGAAAAGATAACAAGGCTGCAGAATATGCAGCACAACCAATCTAAGGCAATAACAATCCCCTCCTCCACATGTCACATGAGGCAGAAAGGTCAGGGTTAAAACTCCCAAAGATTAGGGCACTGAGCCTGGCTAAGCAAAGAAAACCCCCAATAGACTACAAAACAAAGAGTGGGCCACAGATAATAAAAACATTGCTGGAACAGCAAAGCAAGCAAAACGCCTAAAAATTTGCCAACAGGCACACACACTATAGAAATGCAAGCAACACTGAAAAAAGCATAGAAATACCAATCACAAATAATATGACCGGGATGCAAACCCATGACCCATGGAGCAGAATTAAGACACGGAACCTCCAAGGCCCAAAGATATCAGACCCCAGCAAACAAATAGGTGCCAATTCAAACAGCCCAAGCCCAAACACAGAGCTACAAAGGAACATACTGTACTCTGAAAAAAGGCTGGCATCACAGACCACTCCATACGAGGTTATTTTCAGGTTATCTTGAGATGATTTCGGGGCTTAGCGTCCCCGCGGCCCGGTCCTCGACCAGGCATCCTTTTTTGTTACACACCCCCAGAAAACTGCCCGTAGCAGCTGTCTAACTCCCAGGTACCTATTTACTGCTAAGTAACAGGGGCATAAGGGTGAAAGAAACTCTGCCCATTTGTTTCCGCCTCCACTGGGGATCGAACCCGAAACCTCAGGACTACGAATCCGAAGCGCTGTCCACTCGGCTGTCAGGCCCCACCGAGGGACACAGCCCAGGAATACTAACACCACCTAGGCCTGAAACTCCATTGGCGCCCATGCCAGAAACCACCCAAGGACTGCATTAGACTGTTGGTGCCCTTAGAAATCTAGAGGCTGGTTGAGGTAGAAAAGCCTCTGCAGTAGGCTGCAAAGAGCACAATTGTCCCACAATCCCAGGTACAGCTGTATAGCTATCACTCTGGCCTAGCTGTAACAAGGCTGCATAGAGAGAGAGGATAAACCCATGACTGCCTCAGTCTCCATAAACCTGAAATCTATTCCAGCTGCAGAAGAGGAAGGGCTGGGGACAGCAAAGGGAGGCTCTGGGGCTACATTTGAAACCTCCGAGTGAACTGCCACAACCACTGTCAGCACACATGTCAAAATGCAGGGAACCAAAGGCTGAAGGTGTAGTAAACTTCAATAAACAGGCAAGCCAGTATGCCAGAAAGAATACTGAACTCAGTCATAAACAGCAGCAGCACCACAGATCACACAAGAGCAAAAGGAAGAATCCCCCCTTCCTTTCAGCAGCCAGCGACTGTAATGCCTAGATAACAATACACAGGGAAGCCAGTCCAATGGGCCATCTAGAGCCCAGACATCAATGGTCAACCACAGTCAAGAACCCTGATGTATGTAACCCAAACACACTCCTGGTAGCTAAAGCACAAGGCATTAACATGTGCAGAAAGCAGAGCCCAGAGCAATAGTCACACAAGTATGAAGCTAACTACTACACTCCCCACCAACAGACCTCACATTGAAGAGCGAGTCCTATGCCATGTGAGTGGCACAAAGCAATATTGATGCATATAAGAACACAACCACAATGACAGGGAGCCCAGGTTACCACAGCTGTCATCTGCTGGTGGTCAAGTACACCAACCATAGGACACTTTCTCCATGGCAACATTGTTTGCCTTACACACAGAAATCACAATAACGTGATATATCAAATGAACAAATCCACAAGGGCCGTGATGAGGGTTCGAACCTACACACGGAATGTTCCCAGAAGTGCCTTAGTCAACAGTACCACGATATGGTCAAAAGAATTGCAACCTGGAGTGCTACTTCCCTTACTAGGATCCTGAAGCTTCTCTGAAGCCAAATTGGAGTTTCATACAATTCCCCCATGCACCCAGGCTCTGTCAACCAAATGTTCTACCTCTATGGCCTAACACTTGTGGATTTGTTCATTGTTTTCCTCAGGGTTACTTTTTTTTCTCAGATAGTTATGCACAAATTATTTATATTATTAACAAATTATTTATATTATAAACAAATTAAAGAGAGATTTGAATCCCAGACCTTTCCAGCGGGAGGTCGAGCAATTGCTCACTCTGCCAAGCACTCGTAAACAATATGGTAGCATGGGGCCCATAGAATTGTGGGGCTCCTGGGCAACTGCCCAGCGTAACCATGCATTACGATGGCACCAGCTACAAGGTATTAAGCTTGTGGCTCTGCTGAGGGGGCCCTCCCAGAAAAGTATTGTAATAAGTGCTTACTGAGCAATACCTATGGGGAATGTGATCTAAGGCAGCTCTTGAAGCTGTGGATGGCGGTGGTTTCAACTGCTAGTTTCAGTGCAATCCATTTATTTTCCCAATTGTTTATAGTTTTTTCATTGTCTTTCACTGAGGGAACATTCATGATCACCTTAGTACAAGCTGCAAAAGTTGACACGACGCTGAGTTTGATTTGTATCTGATAAGAGGAAGAGCAGTAGTGCACGGACATTACCTTGGGGCACAGACTTTTTAATTGTGCCCATGTTTGATTCCGTTAGGTTTACTGTTACTCTGTGACTGCTTGTTAGGAAACTGGATCTCCAACTCCTCACTTTTCTGTTATTCTTTTGAACTTCATTTTATGAGCTGTCACTCCATTGTCACATTTATTAAATGCATTCATATTCATAGCTCTCCTTGTTTACTATAGGTCTTGTATGTTTGCAAACACTGGAATTTCCATTTTGTTTTTTTCTGGAATGTTTTGATGTGTATTACATATCTATCCTAATCTAAGTGTGCAATGTACTGTAATGTATAAAAACTGTTGTGTAATTAATTAAGTGCAGTTACAGTTTGAAGGCTATGCTCGTGGTGTCCTGTCTTTCCAATAATCTTTGTAATGTAATGCTCTGAAACTACAGTACTGATGGTTTGATCCACCGCCTTCTCACATAACTTGCTCAATCAACAACAACTCTCTGTCTGTTACTTTTTCTATTCAAACATAATTAATTCTCTCTGCTGCTTTTTTAAAATCCATTTCCTTCTGGCTCTAAGGAACTATTTGACTTTTCTGTAAAGCTATTTTCTTATTTTTATTCAATCTGTAGCATTTCATGCCTGTCACATGAAAATCTGGGCAATATAGGTAGGAGCCTATACTGTATTGGTAGGAACCTTTTTGGCCAATAATGAATTGCACATTTCTACCATTCTTAACCTTTAGTTTTTGCTTCACATGTAAACTTGTAAACATGTGTGTTTACAAGCTTCACTTGTTGTGTGTATTTGCTTCGAACTGCATGTGTCTGGGGCATCCCTTCCCTACGCATTCGTTTACACTCCTGCACCATCAGTTACTTCTCTGGTGTTTGGGAATTTGCCCAACAGGCCAGGCCAACGAGGTGGAGAGTTGGGTTATGCACGAGTCACTGACGTTTCTGCAGGGCCTTGTGGTTGGAGGTATTTGGAGAAATATTATTTTGGATTGCTTTAAGGATCAAACACTTGTTTATATGGCATGTTACTAATGTCCTTCGAAGTCATGTTCATTCTAATGGCTGCATTCTGTGTCAGTTTTTCGGACAAGCGTCCCTAAAACCTGGGTGTCCTGCTTGGTTACACTGCTTGGTAAACTTCTGGCTCCTTGGCCAGACGGTTTAAGCCTTTGTTTCCAGCTCTGCTTGTCCAATGTCTGAACCCTGATATCAGTGCAGTGACATATCTTGCTGGTTCAACCTTCTCTCCTGATCTATGCATCTGGATTTTCTGATGCTAGTTCATCCCCATTTGTATTATGCACAAATAACTGAATTGTTTGTGTCCCACCTGTATCTTCCATCACTGTGACAATATGAAGTTTCCTGGTGCACCTTTCACCACCTTGTCTCGCATGTTTCTTCCATGTCTGTTCCAGTAGTTTTGTCCTTTTTGTCTAGTTGTTTAACAGCAACTTATGACTAATACTGTCACCTCTCATCATTCAGCTTAGGAGGAGCTGCTCCTGTTGATATTGTGTGCTGACACCTCTTTGGTATCACTTTGCAAATAGCCTTGTGCTTTCCTTCGCCACCAGGCAGCTCATACACCTCCTGAGTCATGTTGATCTCTCAACCAGGTCTGTTTCTTTCCTCCTTTTGGCCCCTTCCATCCAGGATGTCTTTCTTAAGGTGGCATTTTTGTTGGGCCTCACCACCTGTTGTTTGATTGAGGAGCTTCATGCTCTCCTCCACAGGCATGGGTTCTGTTCTTTTGGCCCTGGTGAGTGATTGTTTGCAGCCTTCTCCTTTTCTGTCAAAGAGTGAGATGGTTACCTTCCAGACATGGTTCCTTGGTGATTGATGCTTGGTTTGTTTGGCCAGAGTTGCATCATTTGCTGTTTCCCATCACAGTGGTTCATCATTATTTGCACACCACCCACTCTGCTTCAGTGGATGCCCTGCCTGTTGGTCCAGTGTCATTGGTTTTCTGCTCCAGGCACAGTTGTCTTAGGTTGTCCGTTATCTTGAGATGATTTCGGGGCTTAGTGTCCCTGCGGCCTGGTACTTGACCAGGCCTCCACCCCCAGGAAGGAGCCCGTAGCAGCTGTCTAACTCCCAGGTACCTATTTACTGCTAGGTAACAGGAGCATCAGGGTGAAAAAACATTTTGCCCATTTGTCTCCGCCTCTACCGGGGATCGAATCTGGAACATCAGGACTACGAATCCGAAGTGCTGTCCACCCAGCTCTTAGGCACCATCCAGCTGATAGCTGCCGCCCACCCAGCTGTCAATAGCATCATTAAATTTAGCCAGCCTGTGGTCTACCCTGATGCCCATGATGCTTACAAGTTCATGGCTTTGGCCGCTGTATTGCTAATATGTCATGGGCTGATTTTTGGGTTCATTGGTATGGGGAGGATCTAACATGATCCTGATAGTTCATTATCTGGCAAATTTTCCAAGTTCCAATCGAGTTTGTGTTGTCCTGTGTCAAATTTCCCGGTCTGGAATCTCATCTTTGTGAATATAGTTGCCGCACACATCCTTCCTGGCAAGTCCAATGTCTTCTATCTTCTTTGTTATTACTTAGCTTCAGGAAGCCAATAGAAGCTCCTCCAGAAAACAAGTGTTGAGTGTAATGGAAACCCCCTCATTCTGGTGGCTGACTTCCTCCCCTCACCCCTACCAGGTGTGTCAATTCATGGCTTCAGAACTCCGGACTGAGTAATTGCTGCAGTAGAAACCAGGAGCACCACCTGCTGATGGCCATTCACACTATGGGGTTCAAGCTAGTTTTCAGTAAATCATTTGGATTTAAATGAATCATTTACAGAGCCATTAGACTCTTGTGTTTCATTTTCTGCGAACCTTACAGTTGACTACATTGCTTTGCTCACTTTCTGGATGCTTTATTGGCGAGGGTGATCTTAACAATCCTCAGCTCCTTACACCTCTGAGGGGTTAAGGAGGGTGAGGGAGTTCTAGCTATGGTCCCCGACAGACCATACAAGAATCCTATGGCAGACGCGACTCAGTAGTGGGAAGCCATCTCAGCAAAGATGGCTACAGAAAGCCACCGAGGCTCTCCCAGAATGAGGCATTTCATTACACTGAATTCTGGCATTTTTCTTTCTGAGCATGTTTATGCATTTTTATACAAGAACTGCATTCTGTGACTATCTGCATACTCTCTAGCAAAGCATTTACATAAATCTGCCTTTCTGGTCATTCTTCATTGCATTTTTTCCTTACTTGATTTGTCAAACATTTTCTAGGCTACCGTTTTTTGCATCTCTTATTTTGGGTATCAGGCCATGTTGTCTTCAAGAATCACTTTTCTTCATCCCGCAATTTTATACTGTGACACCTTTTGTTTCCATTCCCTCATTTGGATTTGGATTTACCGATCTTTAACCACCTGTGTTCTCATTCCTGGGTGTTGCTTTCTTAGAGTTGGGATGTGACTGTTCATATCATTTTCCCCACTCGACAAAGATAGTTAGCAAGTTCTCCATAAAATCAAATTTCTGATTACATATCTCCTCGTTGCTATGCCTTGCAAAGTCATTCCACAATGGTCTGCCTTTCATGAAAATCCCATGATAATAAACATAGAAAAAATTGGGTAACCATAGGTACCCATGACTATGGGTAAATAATGATTTGTAATCATTAATAGTAAATAATAATAATAAATAATAAATAATCAATGCATTAAATATTACTCAAGAGCAATTTTGCCTGCTGGGCAAAATGCAAAAACCATTGTTTTCTTTCAATTGTTCCCAAGAAGTGTAAAATCTATATTTACATATACATGCAATACCAGGTGTTATTACTTCCTATAGCATTTTACAAACACCACAAATTCTTTCGTTTGTTTTAAACCTATTATAACACCATAATCAGTTATGGGGATTTGATTTTTCACCTCTTTTTCTTTATTTAAATTTTTATCTTAAATTATATTTTCTTCATCTTCCCTCTTGTTCAAGTGGCAAATGAGCTCTTCTTTATGTTCTTATACACATATTTTGCAGATTAATCGGTAGACACCACCTCCCCACTAGGGTACACAACACCAACAGTCACATCTACTTACACAACTAAATGTTACACTCCTCTTGGGTACACTCCCCAGGTACACCTGTACACACTCCTCCCAGGTACACCCATACACACTCCTCCCAGGTACACCCATATGCACTCCTCCCAGGTGCACACACCCCCACACACTCCTCTCCGGTACACCCCCCCCCCATACAAAATTTGGTATTTAAATAATAATTTAGTCGATGCCTTCAGGGTGGCTAGTCTTTGTACAGATTCTAGTTCACATGTAAAATAACAATAATGAGTGATATTTTGTAATGATCAAAATGCAGTAACCTTGTTTTGCAAGTAGTAATTCCTGGATTTATTTAGAGCACACTGAGTGGACTTTTTTAAATGAATTTTGTATTTTCCTTGATATGCTCACCACTGAAATTTCCCTGTTCTAGTAAGTGTCTTTTGGCATCTCCGAGAGACAGAGTCGGCAACCTCATACAGTACATACTGTATGGTGAAGTGCTCACCTTGTAATTATTTAGTTAATAAAGTACAGTCTCTTCAGTCAGTCAGCCAGCCTAGCTATCCCACTTTTAGTACAAATGGGGCAGCGAAGTCCCTTACAACATTATGCTCACAACACACATATTTTCCACTGAAGTACACCATGTTCACAAAACCAGTAGGTAAACCCAGGTACACTCTACTCCAAACACTGGCAAATACCCCCTTCCCAAGTAGGCTATACCCCACTCAGCAATGGTAGTCATCCTTTACTCACAAATGCACGTATTGTATTATAATTTTCATTTACATTTCCAAGTTCATTTAATGCAGTACACAGACAATAGAGTAGTTAGAAAACACCTTCCAAGTACAATAATACATTATTCAGTAAACTCCTTTCCAAGCCCATGCTAAACAAATGGTAAAACAATACTGTATCAAAACAAATCTGATAGTGAAGAGACGGATATAGTGTTGAAATAAAGCACAAGCCATAAATTAGATAACTGACCAAGGTCCAATTTCAAGGGGATGGAGGAATCTCTTTAATATCATTACCCGATGGTTCTTGTTCAGTAACATGTGGTGAAAACTCTGTAGACTCCGTGTCACTGCCTGACCTTTCAGTTTCATAATTGCTCAAGAATTTGGCCGCTACATGAAAAGCGAACAAATGTCCTTCTGACTGTAAATGATACAATGTGTGACGAATTGCGTTGCTCCAGTCCTGGAGAGGCTTCCCGACCAGAATGGCATCAGTGTTCTGGAAGGCAACGCATGGAGCACAGTACAGACCATCCTGAACAACACTGTAACGCAGTGTGGGATACTGCTGGTTGTTGAACAACTTTTCGGGCACACGTCTTCTATACTTGCCAAATTGTCGTTGGGGAGGCTTCCAATGTCTGTGTGGAACAAACCGGGTCGTCAGAATCTTTTTGATGAGATATTTAGAAAATCTCTTGGGTAATGACAGGTCAAGGGTTCCAATGTCAATAAACGACGTTTGTGATGTCACTTTGTGCGAGCTGGCTGCTTCCAGCGAGTCAGTAATAACGAACTTCTCGTTCATTGGTCTTGCTTGGGACGGATCTTCTTCTGTCTGTAGAGAGATATGAAGAATTTCAGTTACCTGTGCACGACTTTTTCAAATTCTTTTACCAGCATACTTCAAACAATTTCCTGCTAATTAATTCAGCATGATCTCAACTGAATGAGAATATTAGAGTAAAGCAGTAGAACTTGCCTATGTGTCCTCTAAATATCTTATGCATTCAAAGCATGTTATTCGATACACATCCTTTTTTCTAATACTCCAATACCATTCAAAAGCATTTCCCTAACACTTAAGTATGGCACTGAACAAAGTATTGAAGACCTTGAGGTCAAAAGTAAGCTATCCACATAACATTCCAATAAACACGTCTTAAACATTTATCATAAAATTACTCAATATCCAAATCACAGAAATGTCAAAATGTACCATTATTATTTGAATTATATGCAAATATTCAATGAATGGAATTATAATCATATGCTGCCATGTCTGCTGGTACATTGTAAACAATGCAGTCACATGTTGGGATAATTCCTATTGTCGAGGGACAGGATGTCTGTGAATACAATATACTGTACAGTATATACTTTAGCCATTAATAGAGGTCCTCCAAGGTTGAACTACTGACCTTTCTCAGGATGCAGCCCCACAACAGTAGCCTAACTCCCAGGTATCTATTTATTACTAGGTGAACAGAGGCATTAAGTGAAAACAAACATGCCCAACAATTTCTGTTCAGCTGGTAAATTGAACCCAGGATCCCCAATTGTGGGAAAATTTGACATAAGCCTAACATGTATGAATACACTCTGGCTGCCTGTCCCCCGACACAGTGAATTATAATTATTATTGGAGTTTGTGAAATAGAGTAAAAAGTGTCAATGAAACTGAAAGGACCCCGAAACATTTTTTCTATGGAAAGTTTTGAGATGAAAGTACATCTAGCAATGGGCCCATACTGAAGAGAGATGAAACTTTCACAGATGATTGCAAAGAAATGAGTGGAACACTAGGGGTCACAGTTTGACTGTTTTCAGTGAACCTCATAACACACTGGAAAGTAAGAAGCTAAGTGAATTTTTCCCAAACATAACCCCAACATCGACCCATACACCAGATGTCACAATAACACCACTGGACACTGAAGTACCCATAGCCAGCATGTCCATGCACTCTGCCAAAGTCAAAATGCCTGGAAACCCCCCATGTTCAACTAAAAATAAAATTACATAAAACCACTATCATAGGTCCTAAACACCCTTTGGAGATGTAATGTGGATACTGGTGTTAAACCCAAATGCACTTAAAACAGCAGAAATTGAGCTCCCCACCCCCCCCCCCCCCCCCCACAAATGGGGCAGTAAAGCATAAGTAAACAAATCAGACTGATAGCACTAACATTACACAAAACTCGTCGAAAGTGCTAAAACAGTGAAGATAAAACAAAGGATTCAAAACGTCTACATAACCCTTGCCAACATGGGTTTAGAGCAGGATGCTCCAGCCTCTCAATTTCTAGATCACTAAGGCAAGGCACTAGATGTCATGGAAAACAAACAAAATACCAATGTATTTTGGTACATTGGTCACATAAGTGTGTCATGTGCACACTTTTGTGAAAACATTCAATAAATGTGACCATGGTGAAACTGCACATAAAATATGAACAAAAGGAATAATTGGCAAAGTAGGAATATGAACCTTTAATTTCCTAATGAACAGAACCCAAAGGGTAAGACAGAGGAACCTCAGTACTCGAACAGCTCCCACCTCAAATAATGACATGTTTGTGCTGGGTACTCAACCGTTTGCTCACCACTCAAACATGCCTAATAGACAAGTCCATTTTCCAGTAGCTTTTATTTAGTGCAAAACCTCCATAAACTTCTTTGAAAACTTTCTCGTGTTTTCTTGGACATTTGTAATATATTCTTGGCATACATAGGTCACCATGGTGCCTAAGAAAATTAGTAATAAGAGCCAAACAAAATAAAATTAGTTTGAACCATGATTGAGATGAAAAACAGAACTCATAGCAAAATATAAAAGTGGTGCCAGCATGTCTGTTCTTGCTACCAATTTTGGTATACCTAAATCTACAATCTCCATGAGATTTAAAAACAGAGGCCTTCAAAGCAGCTGATGTTGGAGTGAACGCAGTTATAAAACAAAGATCACAGACAACTTAAGAGGTTGACTTCCCTGCCAAAGAATAACATCTCTACTCCTCTTCCTCACCACCTTCAACATATGCCATCAATTCTCCTAAATGCAGGTAAAGTGAGAATTAATTTACAATTATTTCATTTATTTATTGTATGTGTATTTTTTTGTGGTCACAAACAGATTAATCCAATTTACATTATTCCTTATGGGAAAAAATTATGGTACTGTATTTGGTATCCAAAAAGATCGCCACTCTTAACGGACATCTGGAACCAATTCAGTTCGAGTACCGAGGTTCCACTGTAATCAGCATAGTAAAATCTTGACCATCCAACGTGAAAAGCTCGGTCCCCCAAGGTACTCAATTTATTCCAATGTGCTCTCTCAAGCATGCAAGAAAAAGCAATATAAATGACCAGTGAGAAATTATGTCAGAAGACCTTACAGTACTGTAGTTTTAAACAACACAATAAAGTAGCTGTCACAACTGCAAGAAAAATGACAGACTAGATAACAAGAACTTTTCAAACAAGAGATTAAAAGTAAAAGCAAAAATAATGGTATTTTCAGACACTAGTGTTATGAAGGGTAGAATATTGTTGCACATTACCAGCCCCATTCAAAGCTGGAGAAGTTGGCGACCTGGAGAACATGTTAAGAGCCTTAATCCATTCAGTAAAATGTTTACATTTTTGGACTGTTTAAAATTTCTCAAACTGAATGCTCAAGGGCACAGGTATACGGTACATTATAATTTACACTTGGAAAATATTAGAGACTTGTTCCAAATCTGCACACAGAAATAACTGCACATGAGGCTAGGAGACATGGCAGTTTGTGCAAAATGGTCCCATTGAGAAGTAGAGGTGCAATAGCTATCCACAACGAAATCACCTTAACGTGATATATTAGCGAGAAAATCAATAAGAGCCATGAGAAGGATTCTTTTTTCGTGCAATAAGTATGCTACGAGACAATTCTGTCAACATCAAGGGCCCAAGACTTTTCAGCACTCTCCCTCTAAACATAAGGGGCATACCTAGCCAACTTCTCACGGTATTCAAAAGGAAACTTGATACACACCTCCAAAGGATACCTAATCAACCGGGCTGCTACGCATACGTCAGACTGTGCACAGCTATTTCTAATAGGCTGGTTGACCAGACCACCAACCAGAAAGACTGGGCAATAGGGATATTGATCCTTGGAACCACTTGAAGATAAGGCAGTCAAATTCTTCCAAAACAACCCATCCAAAATTACTAAATCTATCTCTAGGATGAATATAGTACTGTATTAACTAACAAATGCCTTATTTCAAACTATAAAAATATATATCATACAAAATGTTTGTACGAAGTCATTACAGGAGACTTGGCATTAAACACGCCATTCATGTGACGGATGTTTCATCAGTTCTTTCCTCTATGTATTACCTTGATAACATGGTGAAGGATATGGAAGAGCTATACTCTTCACCTCCTAATGATGTAACTTTTATGAATGCTTCTTACTGTCGATTCATTTAATTTTCTACCAAACTTGCGTGACATTTCTCTTGCAGCCTTAACTGGTCCCAGTTCACAGCAGGCCCGGTAGATCTGCCAACGCTGCTCGGGCATCCAACGAACACACTCGCGACGGCTTCTTCCCAACAGCAAGCTGCCATCTTCTTCAACCTGTTGATTGATGGTGATGGTCAATTTCAATCTTCAATGGAATTTTCCAAGTCTGAACAGCTGGGATGTAATGCTACAACGTTTGAGGCAGCTAAGCTGGCTCCGTCATCCCTGTGCACATGCTATTGCAAAAATGTAGCGGGGGGTTCCATTATTTATTAAAGTAGCAGGCAGCAATGATAAGAATAGCATATTACTATGCCGTAAGTTTTAGTAACAACCAGCAAAAGTCTGTTACAAGGTAGACAGATGGCCATGAAATGCTACCAGCCATCTTCTAATGGAACAATTATCGAGTGTTGCCAAAGTATGTAAACTTGCAGCTTTCTTCCCCTCAATGATGGCTCTCACTCTTGAGTGGGGACACACAACTCGGCATAATATTTCCTCTCTCAGGGGATCATCACACTTTTACACTTAACATTAGGCTAGTTCAATAATGTTGAATTCACTTGCAGCATCGGGTCTTCCAACTCAGGCCACCAAAGTACAACTGTTGGCATATTAGTGAGTCCATGGTATCATTCCTCCATTACCCCCATGCATCTTTTGTTATTTAGCTTTACTTCCTGTTCTGAGAATGTCCCTTTTTCATTCACAAGTCTCTATACTGCCAGTATAAATCTATTTTTTTGGGTGCATGAAGGTTAACTGGCAGAAGTCTTGTGGAAATGTTTCAAATACAGTACAGTACTGTATTGCATTTGTAGTTTTGCTGACAGAATGTATTTGAATACCAGTACAGAATACACTTCAAAATCCATGGAGTAGACAGAGTTGGCTACTATATCTTAATTATTTAGCTGCGATGATCAACACCTGATACCTAACGTGGTCCACTTTCATAAAAAAAAATATCTCTGCATAGTGTTATGAACACAATCATTTCATGGTTTTGGAAAAAGGAAATAGGCATCATGGTGTGCACTGCCATGTGGTGGCAACAGCACCAAAACACTGCTCATCACGCCATCATCATCCATTCTCAGCAGAATATTTCACTTTCATTAACCTATTTAGAACATTTATTCTGTTGTCAATATATCTTGCATAAGTTATGGTAAACTGAGCACCATGACCTGAAATTTATGTCTACTGTACATCAAATTAGGCAAATTATGCATTGATTTATAAGGCTTATAACAGCACCTTTTATGATCATTCTTCTTCCTGTGGATCTTTCCCAGTAGCTCCCCAAAG